CCCCGTCACAAAGTACGAGCGTCTTGTAAATGGCCCCAGGATCTGATATCGTTCGGTAGCACGTACATCACGATGGACGAGCTTCTTCCGGCGCTGGAGCGGGAACAAGCCATCGACGTGTACACGATCAACTTGGCCGGCAAGTCGAGCCTCGCCGAGCACATGGTGTTCTGCACGGGTCGGTCGCGCGCCCACATGCGCCGCATGGCCGACATGGTGATCCTCTCGATGAAGGCGCGGTCGATGGAGGACGACTTTGGCTACGTCGTCGAGGGCCGCGACTGCGACGACTGGATGATCGCCGACATCAACACGATCGTCGTGCACTTCATGACCGAAGGTATGGTTGGATCCACGCATCCGATCGATACGAATATTGTCATGGGTAGAAACGCGCAAGATGCTGCAGCTCGAGAAGCACTGGGAAAACATGGTCAACGACAAGCACCGGCTCTACGGCCACCTCTCGGAGGACGAGTACATGGACAAGTATGGCATGTCGGAGCTCATGACGGACGACGACGTGCTGAACGAAGACGATATTGACCACAATGTGTGGAAGTAATTGCCTGACCTTGCCCATTTTTGACAAATATACGACCACAACCCACAATAAGAACCGAGTTTTTGTTGACGCCCACGGACTGTACGAGGACGAGAACGGAGGGCCTCGTCAAGCACGTCTCACGTCTTGACGCCCGTGGCTCCGACACATTTCCAAGGCTTCAAGTGTCCTTCCTTCCCCATCGATTGCGTTTCAAGTGCAGTGCGCTCGCTGTCATTGAAAGGAGCCGATGTAAGCGTGGGTATACTACACCCAGCGGATTCTGGTGGCGAGCAGTCGACTCGTCGCTCGTTGCGACGTAAGGTAGCAATGACGCGAAGCCGTTGTACATGCGACGCTGTCGCATCCAATCGCTGGCGTATCAGGTATCAGAGGGATGTCGTCGCGAAGCTGGCAGTCGGCATGTGGAGAAGACATATCGCTAGCCACCTAAACTACGTAGTACTTGTGTACCAGGTTGGCTCAATTAGCAAACTCGTCAATTGGTAGCCACCATGACGTGGTGCAGCGACAGACCAAGTTGCGTGTTTTTAGTCCGTGGGACGATCGTGGCCGGCGTCCATTCCGTGTCCAACGCCATGGCTCCGCTTCGGCTCCTCGTGGTCGGCTATCTCGTGCTGGACGCCGCCGCCTTGGCACTCGGTCTCGTCACGCTCGTTGCTCGTTTCGCCTTTTGGCCCAGCATCTTCGTGCACGGCGATGCCCTCACGGCGCTCTCGGCCATCACGCTGGTTGTTGCTGGCGTCGGTCTTGTCCTCGGCCTGCGCCTCAAGCGCCACGGGTCCGTGCTGCCGCTGGCCGCCGTGCTCGCGATTTGTAGCGCAACGATCTATGGCATCGTCTTCCTCCTCATCTTCCGCACGAGGGGCCACGAGCTCTTGGACCACGAGCTCTTGGTCAATCGGCCCATCCCAATTGTACAGAACGAGACGCAAAACCCATACCTCCACCAGTACGCTGTCTCGCTGTCCATGCCAGGCCCGACGCCTTCTCGCGCCATCGACGAAGCGTACTGCATCCACGAAGGCAAGGTGTTCTGCGACACCCTTCCGCTCCGCGTGACCGGCGGTGGTCTGGCCGACGGGAACGCCGCCCGCACGAGCTTGAGCTCCCTCAACGCGTCGTCGACATCACTGGCTCTCGAGGGGCTTCTCGTCTCGCCCAACCTGACGCTGAACGCCTACTGTGCGATGCGCCGCAACGCCGTGCAAGTAATCGATGCGGGGATCGAGGCCGCGTGCGCGGGCTGCGAGCGCATCATGGCAGCGACGAGCGACCCGCTGCATTTGGCGCCGGCGCTTCGACGGCTCTGCCCCATGCGCGAAGGCGACGCGGCGTTCGGAGTCTTTTGCGCCATGTACATGAGCGACCGCGTCGAGGGCTACCAATTGCACTATGCGCCTGGTCGATGGTACCGGTACCACGGCTTGCGCAGCATGGTTCAGATGCCCAATGGCTGCTACAAGGCGCTCGCGCAGGATGCGGACCGCTACGTGACTCCGCTGCAAATTACCGCCGGCATGCTCGCGTGGACCACGACGACGATCGCGATTGGGCTATGGCAGTGGCAACGGCGTCGCTTTCTCTTGGCCACGACGAACGCCGACGACTATGTCCTCGCGTACCGAAGCGTCGGGACACCGTCCGTGTACCGCGATTGAGAGTAGGAACGTAGGTTAGGTTAGCCGCGCGGTCTGACGCAATTTGAAAGTGATGTTGTCCCCTCTTTCCAGAACCCAATTTGGAACAAGAATTCTCGTGAGTCTGTCCCTCGACCGTGTTTGCTTGGACAATTGGGAAGCATGATATGAACCATCTTCGAGACGTTGCAGGACGAGCGCTACGCCGAAATGCGTTGACACGCAGCGCGTTTCAAAGAGCACTGAGATCCACCCCATCCCGTCGTGGACTCGGCCGAGTGAGACTACTATTCTGTGCCAAAAAAAGTGTCGGCGCGTTGATTTGCAACACCAAGGACATGAGGTCCACGCCTTCTGCTTCTCTACATCTGCTCAAAACACAGAGAGTATGAGGATGTCGTTGACATTGCAGTAGTACGGGGTAATATTGAACGCAAAATACATCATATCTAGCGTCGTCGTTGACTAGGGCGCGCCCTTGGCCCGTGCCGTCTTGAGCGCGTTCGCAAACCACAGAAGCTCCGAGACGAAGCTTGCTGCGCCGTTCTCCAACGCGAAGCCACTGCCCCCGGCGTCCGGCAGCAGGTCGCCGTCGTCGCTGAGCAAATTTTGCACCTTTGGCACGGGCACCGTGAGCGGAATCGTCGTCAATCCGAGCTGTCCCAAGAAGGGCCGGAGCGGGCCGGCCGCGCGGACGCCGCCAAAGTACTCCATCGAGTAGGTCACGATGCCTGCGCTCTTGTAGTAGTACTCGTTGTGGTAAAAGTAGTCCATGACGTTGGAAAGCACGGGCGAGTAACTGTTGTTGTACTCTGGTGAGACGACAATGTACGCGTCGCTCTCGGCGATTCTGGCGTGGAGCTCGCGAAGACCGGCGGTGCGGTCTGCGTCTGGAAGCGCCGCGTACCGGTCGATGAGCAGCGGGATTTGAAGCGGCGCCGGGTCGATGAGGTGGACTTTCTGGATGCCTTTTTGAAGCAACTTGGCTTGAAAGTACTTGCCGACGCGGAGACCCATGCGGTGGGGCCGTACCGAGCCGATGATGACACTGACCGTGAGCGCGCTCATGCTCGGCGGAAAGGGTTTATAGAAAAGTGAGCGCGAATGGGAGATTCGAAACAGTAATGACGGTCGTCGAAGTCCATTCGGTGACTGGAAAGCCGGCCATCGTCGGCTTTCTTTAAAGTGGATTTGGCTCCGTCTGGAAATCAAGCGTAAAAGAAAGCACTTGAACCATCGAAAAAGCGAGCCGCAGTGCCCGTGTGGGTCCCTCGATCGATCGAACGACGACGATTCTTGATAGACAGTCACAAGGATCGCGCGTGGACGTTATGGACAATCTATTGCGTGAGACGTCAGGATGCTGTTGTTGATTGATTGCGTTGACACTTGGCGGTGCGATGAGGCGGTTGGCGGTGCGATGAGGAGGGGGTCGTAAAACGAAGCAAAGTTGAGCGCTTACTCGGATTGCTGAGCTTTGAAACCTCTTATCAACAAGCGCTTGTGCCACTGGACATGCGAAAGAAACCAGATCGATTATTGACGAGTCGAGCTAGCGAATAGGCGACATGTCGGACCGTCCATGCACTCTTTCTACACCAATGGTCCGTGCCATAAATGCTGTGGTTTAGCTGCCTTGGAATACTATCGGCTCCTACGCTCGGCTCTTTTTGCGGGCCGTCTGAAGCGCGTCTGCAAACCACGTGAGCTCGGCAACGAAGCTCTCGGTGCTCTTCTCCAAGAGCGCGCCGCTGGCGTCCCCCGACAGCTGACCGTCTTCGGTCAATACAGCGTGCACCGACGGCACGGGCACCGAGAGCGGAATCGATGTCAGGCCCAGACCGCTCAAGAACGGCCGGAGCGGACTCAGCGCGCGGACGCCGCCGAACAGCCCCATCGAGTAGGTCACGATGCCTGCACTCTTGTAGTAGTATTCGTTGTGGTAAAAGTAGTCCATGAGGTTGGAAAGCACGGGCGAGTAGGTGTGGTTGTACTCGGGCGAAATGACGATGATCGCGTCACTCTCGGCGAACTGGGCCTGAAGTGTCTTGAGACTGTCGGAGCGGTCGGCCTCGGGCAGCGACGTGAAGCTGTCGACGAGTAGCGGGATCTGGAGCGGCGCCGGGTCAATAAGGTGGACCTTCTTGACGGCCTTCTCGAGGAGCTTGGCTTGGAAGAACTTGCCGACGCGGAGGCCCATGCGGGTCGGGCGCACAGAGCCGACGATGATGGCGATCGTGAGGTTGCTCATGGTGGCGGTGGGTGGCGGCGTTGTTGTCGAGGGAAGGAGAGAAAAGGAATTGTGACAACTCTCATCTCGTCGTTGGCGCGACGCTGATCGATATCATACATTGTAGCACGATCATGTACGATGATCACGGTATCGTCATGTGATCACGTTACTCGAACAAGGACGGAAAATACTTTTCTGTGGGACCGGAAGCAACAATATGTTCAATTGCCTTGGACAAGTACACTTCCTATGCTTTGATTGCTTTGATTGGTGCATTGCGACGAAGTGCTGTCGCCTCTTCTGCACCAGAAGGACGCCGCGACCCTCCAATTTCGTTGGGCGTCGAAAGTCCTACTTACCCCGGACGTATGCTGCGTGATTGCACTTTCTGTGCAGCTTACCGAGCCGGCGGGCAAGGACCGGGCTTCGTGTGCCAGCCATAGTACACACATGTCTTGAATGTGTGCCACTTGTGGTGGCTCACTCGACGGACACCGCCCTCGGTCGAACGCGAGCGAAAATACGTCAAGCACAAGGAGAGTTCTTGTCAAACGATGTCTTTGTATTGTGCATCAATGCACCATTCTCGCTCAAGCCAGCGTTTTAGAAGCTACTGCCAGAGATGTACTATTGGCACTATCAGTACAGCTCTACTTCATGCTCTGCTACCTGCATCTACCACGACCACTGTAGCACCAGCATTCATAGAGGCAGCTACCTGTGTCATCTTGTCTGCAAGGCAATTGTGCTACCCATCGATTTCAGAACGCACCGAGGCACCGAGACGCAAGTCTGGTTCGAGTTACGGTCGTCGCCCTGGATTCCCCGAACGACACGAGCTTGGAACGCAACGTGAAAGAGAAGAGGACCCTCGTCGCGGCCTGTGTGTGCACAACCAACAACGCACCGGTGAACCAACGATCGATTGTTGTTTTACACGACCGACTTGGTATCCTCGTCGTCGACGTCCTCGAGCTTGGAGTCTTTCTGCAGCGCGAGGGGCGGTTGGGCTGGCGCCACGGGCAGCGAGTACAAGTAGATACCGCCGGCCACAAGCGCCACAGAGAGCACGAGGTAGCTATGTCAATCCGAAAATGCCAAAATCAATTCCCAAAAAAAAGAAACAAAAATGATATGGCCACGCACCCGGTGAGCACAGTGCCAAACAAGAGTGACGCGAGGATCGGGAGCACGACGAGCTCCAAGCCAGAGGCGATCGCCTTGCGCACCGAGTCGAGGTACTTGAGAAAGAGACTCGTGACGACGCCAATGAACGACATGATGAGCACCTATAGCACGCATGCGATACGTTCGTGTCCATGAGGTCGTCGTGGTGTACCATCATGAGGACGGGCCAGTGCGTGAGCGCCTCGAGGTTTTTGACGTCCGTCGCGTCGCGGAAGCTCACGCCAGTGATGCCAAGCGCAAGGCAGAGCATCACAAACACAATCGAGTCGAGGTACATGATTGTGTTTTGGAAATGGATCGACAAGTTCTTGTCGTAGGTCTTGAGGAGCGCTTCGTTGTAGACACCAGCAAAGGTCGAGCTGAGGATTTGCACCATCAAGAGGCCGTAGGCGAACACCGGGATCGGCTTCTCGGCGGCGCCCGCGTTGTCGCCGACTGTCTTGATGACGCAGCCAACGGTCACGGCCAGAATCGCGAGCCATTGGTTCTGGTTCATGGTCTAATCGCATGTGAGAGATCGCGTCAAGAAGGCGACGGCCATGGACCTTGTGGAAGACGCGCTGATGCAGGAGGCCCGTGATGACGAGGCGGAATTGCAAGAGCAGAAAGTACGTGGGCGGGTCAAAGAGCGCGAGGTTGACGTACGCGAGGATGTCGTAGAGGGCATACAAGCCGGATGGGATCAAGTACAAGATGAAGAGCGTGGGATGGCGCTTGAAGAGCTCGAGCATCTTGGCGAGCGACCCGTCCTGCGACCTAAAGAGGCCGACGGCCAGCACGAGCTTGACGATGCACTGCGCGACGACCGCTGTCGCCGAGTGAAACTTGATATGGCTGCGCTTGGCGTACTCGTTCAGAAGGCCGTAGCTCACCCAGAGGCCAATGTAGACGCAGAAGATGCTCTTCTGCACCAGCGTCTCGAGGCCAAGGAAGGCCATCGTGCTTGCTTTGACGTCGCTACGGAAATGAGCCCGAGTGTCCGTGTGACTGCGACCACCAGCTGGGGAAACGTTGTGTGTTTTTATCCTTGGCATACATATGGTATATTGCAATGGATGGATCCACGCCCATTAGCTACAGCAAAAACCGACGAAATTTCAGGGCCAAGGCCCACTCAGCTCGTCTGCGCCAAGATCGTGTCCGAGTCCAACGACCGGAACGTCTCAAGTTTCAAAGTTCAAACCGACCGTTCACGGCCGGCCGTTGTCCTTGCAGATACTAGTACCGTCTGTATTGGTTTGCCCTACTCCTATGTGCATTCATTCCAGCCTGCTATCAGTCCATCTATCAGTCTGCAACACCAACGATAATTATTGCAGTGCTCTGGCGGCAGAGCGTCCAGCTCATCACTCGTCAAGGTCTGAGACGAGCCGTGGATCGAACGCAAAATTGTGGTTGTAAGATTGGGCCGGCTATGGACGAGACGTTTGCAAAGTCTTTACCCTCGTGTCTCTACAGTTATAAAGATTCAATGTTGATCTCAATGTTGTCCACCACTGTATCTATTGTCTAAGCAGCAGCGGGAGCGACTACACATTCTACCGGTATAGCGAGCTAGCAAGAATAGGTGTTCATGTGTCTGGTATTAGCTCTGCGTGGTCACTACGAGGACCAACTGTATGCCTCATGATCAATGCGAGTACGTCTCCGAGAGGAAAATAAAACGTACGTGGATCTCGTGCGTGGTCAATATTGTCATCGCCCATTATTGCACTACACATTCGGTTCGCAGACATCCATATAGAATTATCCCATTCTAGTCCTCAACTACTAATATGCGCTTCTAGTCTTTAGACGCTTACGTTCGAATCCGACGATTGCATGAGCAGCTTGGAGACATACTCGTACACGGCAAAGATGAGCGCGCCGTTCGGAAGCACTTTGATCAAATTCGGCGTCAAGCCCTTGTAGAGACCCGGCATGCCTTCGTACCTACAGCACATTCCATGTCAAAAGACCCGATAGAATGAAATGCTCGCTTCGTCAGTACTTGATGATGCGCTTCGTGCAGTCCCACGTGCCCGTGTACTTGTCCGCGACGGGTCCACCTTGCTGGAGGCGGGCTTTGATCACTTGGTACGGGTACGTGGCGGTCGATGCAAACGCTTGCGAAAGCGCTCCGATGGTCAGCGACGCGGGAATCGACTATAAAACATCCCGTTGCGTCTTCACAATCAAAGACAATAATCATGTCTACCATATCACGGCTCACGTACGACGTGTACTCGGACTTGAGCTTTTCGTACGCGACAAACTAGATCCGCATACGTCAACCATGAGAGACCACAAGTCGACGCGTCTGCACCTTGAACGCGCCGTGGGACGTCAAAAAGAGCGCTGGCACAGCGCCCTTGTACAAAGCGCGGACGCCTTCTTCGGCAATAATGCGCTTGAACGCGTCGGCCACGTTCTTGTACGGCACCGCTGTGCCCTGCACTTGCATGCGCACCTTGATGAGCCAGATCGGGTTGGTCAGCGGGACACACATGACGCCTGTAGCCGTACATGAATTCGATCGCGGCGCAATGCAGCGAGATGAAAGACGAGTACCTGCTTGGATGCCCGAGAGAAAGTGGCCGATCGACGGCGGCAGCGACGAGGTGGCATACATGGTCTTGGCCTGCTCGTAAAAGTAAAAGTAGAGACCCCACGACATGGTCGTGCCGTACAAGGCCGGGCTCATGCCTTGGTACATGGCGCGCCAGTGCCACGCCGACGCGCCGGGGCCTTTCACGAGCGACGTGAACGCGTGCAACAGCGACTTGTACGCACGCGGCGACTGCTCGTGGACCTGGTACCGGACCTTGACGAGGTCCAATGGGTACAGCACGGCCGTGCTGAAGCCGCCGGCGACGATGCCGGCGACGCAGTGCTGCAGCAGCGTCGGGCGGCGTTCCTTCGAGTTCATCGTCGTCGTGATGGAAAGGCCAGCTTGCTTGATTGGCCCAAACACAGATCGCGCGGGGATTGGTTCGAATGCGTTGCGACGACGCTTTGGATTGGTGGATTGGAGGTGCTAATTTCACCCAAATTGCCGGCTTGGTGAAGTGCAACCTCGCCCATGGTTCCACGTCCGCTCTCCCGCTCGAGCGTTTACAAAACCACGACCAAAGCGCATGTGACCTCTCCTTGACGGTACGCGACATGGTTTGGAAGGCTCCCTTCATGTCGATCGCCTTTAGGAGTTTATTTGCACACGCAAGAGGGCCATTGCCGTTAGACGTCGCTTCAAGAGCGGTAATGACCAAAATGTGGGTGTTTTTAGACAACCTCGTAGCACGGGTGTTGACGCAGCAAACGTCAAGTGCAACCAAACAACTAGCAGGCACCGTATTCCCGGTCCAGAGCTCGCTCCCCGACGCACGCAAGCGAGGTTCGGTTCCAACAACTCGGATCGCGTCTTGATACAGCGTCTCTACCGCGCCTAATATCAATAGATAGATCCCTTGCCTTGCTGCACAACACAAAAGAGACAAGAGACTAGTCATACAAATTCTATATATTCGCATGGACGCCAATAACTTAAAACATTTCGTCTTCCACACGAAGGTACTCGCCAATGTCGGCCTGGTGCAAGACGACGTAGCCGGTCGGGTCGAGGTCTTTGCACATCTCGGTGGCCTGCGCGGCGATACCAAAGCCGAGCGGCACGTCGTTCATGCTGTAGACGACGACGCCGGCGTACTGCGGCGTGCCTTCGGTGATGCGGCCAAGGCCCGACTTGACCACGTTGTTGCCGTACAAGAACGACATTTCCGAGTTGGGCTTGATCCACACCTTGTACTTGGCGTACTGGGCGAGGTAGTCGAGGAACGTGATGCGGAGGTGGAACTTCTTCGTTTTGGTGAGCTTGCCGACCGCCGTGCCGAGCGAGAGCAGCTGGTCCGTGCCAATGTTGGTGGCCTGGCGCATGAGCTTCTCGCTCACGTAGTAGACAATGTCGCCGTGGAGGCGGAAGCAGAATTTTTCGTCCGGGCGCACGACCAAGTGCTGCACGTTGCGGCCAATGCTACAAGCAGACGTTAGCACAGCATATCGATACTAGATCGTAGTACTATTTCGAGATCTTCTCGAAGACGGTCTTCATCTCTTCATCGGTCAACGGACGCATCGTCGCTTGCTCGTTGGGCGGCCAAAGCAAAGGGTTGTGCTTTGCCCGGGCCGACCACCGCCGTATTCATTGGTCCAAATCGATTGGCCAATCAGCGACGCCGAAGCAATCGATTGGTGGGCGCGGATGTTTTTATGTTGGAAACCATCCGGTGTTTTAAACATTGCGCGTGAAAGCCAAGGGCATGCACACCACGAGGATGGACAACATGGTTGTATTCATATCCGAGTCGAAGAAGAAGCTATGGACGTGAAGACCATCCATCAGCATGGGTTGGTATTGTGCGAGGAGCAAAAGCGAGTTGGTGGTGGAAAAAGGGAGTCCCGTGGGCGAGGCGGTGCAGTTCATGTGTCCGAGTTTCCTGGGGCAATGATTGTATCTTGCGGGCGAATGCGTCGACTGTAAGGACTGTAAGTTGCATGACACGAGGGATTGAGCGATCCATGGAAAGAGAGGTTTTTATACTGCTCGTGCACACAAAACTACGGTGTATAGGCCAAAGACCGAGTCGGCTGTCCATGCACAAGGCACGGAGGGTCCTCAAATTTTGGAAACGCACGTTGATTGATGATTGAATACTAGTACAATGGAGGTAGCGGCGACGACGCCAAGCTCAATTGAGTAGCACAACGGACGCCCTTTGAGTGCGCCTCTGCGACCTTCACGAGGTAAAACCTAAACCAATAAATCCCTATATAAATTCCTATGAATGGCGGGGTGAGACCTGAGCGTTTTGTGGGAGACTATGATCATGATATGACCCGACCTCAAATACTCCACCACTGGCCGCGTCGATCTCATACCTCCGCTTGTATGACAACCAACACGACACTTGCACAGTCATGTGTATGCATCCCAATCCTAAATACGCCAAGCCTTGCCAGGCGACGACACGGAGCTCGCTCTCATCCTTTCTCCACCCATCTTTGCATCGTTCTCGTCGTCACGTCGCTTTCCAGTCATCACAGAGACGACTCGATTGCACGCATCATGAACCGGGCGCGATTGGTCTTGGCACACTTTCCGTCTTGCCCATGCAGCGTGCCACGTGCGAGATCGTTTCAAACACTTTTTTTCACACTATGTGTATAAAACACCCCCGGCCAAATCCCAAATGGCTGGTGCGGAGATGATGCATTCTCAGAGGTTTTTGACAATATAAAAAGCAAGAGGGAATCGGCCACGGCTGGCTTCAAGTCATTCCGGAAATCACACACCAGTAACATCATGGAAGGCGCGAGCAAGATTGAATCGGTCCAGGTCTTTGGCCGCAAGAAGAACGCTACGGCGGTCGCCTACTGCAAGCGCGGCCACGGCCTCATCAAGGTCAACGGCTGCCCCATCGAGCTCGTCGAGCCCGAGATCCTCCGCACCAAGACGTACGAGCCGGTGCTCCTCCTCGGCCAGCAGCGCTTCGCCAACGTACGTACTACTCCGCCTTGATCACGTCCTCCAGTGTGCATCGGGGCGCGGCGAGAGGCTACTCTCTTGGCGCGCCTTGGTAGCTGTCTTGGTCCACATCTTACTGTGTGCCACCGCCGTCTTGGCGGTGTGCTGTGTCCAATGATTGCACATCCACCGATGTCGCACTTGGGATCTAAGATGCTCGGGATAAACGGGGACTGATCGGCATGCTGCAATCTTTTAGGTCGACATCCGTGTCCGCGTCAAGGGCGGTGGTCACACCTCGCAGATCTACGCCATCCGCCAGGCGATCGCCAAGGCCATCGTCGCGTACTACCAGAAGTACGTCGATGAAGCCTCGAAGAAGGAGATCAAGGACATCCTCCTCGACTACGACCGCACGCTCCTCGTCGCGGATCCCCGCCGCTGCGAAGCCAAGAAGTTCGGCGGTCCCAGCGCCCGCGCTCGCTTCCAGAAGTCGTACCGTTAAACGTCTCGCCGACGTGGGTCGTCTTGGCCTGGGTGCAGCGCAGCGCTTCTATGCGCTCTGCTTTGCAGTCTAGTTGGTCGATCGTGTAACAGAAACTGGTGTGAACCTCATTTTAAATTCTTGTCTTGCACCCTTTGCCCAGCACGCGTCTACTCGTCGGTCGTCATAGCATTGCTTGTACTACCAAGCGACAGAAGCGTGGCAGCTACGTGTCCAAGGAGCTCACATGAGCAGCTACGCGCAAGCAGCCCGCGCAGGTACACACGCCACGGCCATGGTACTCACCCCCTGACCCCAACGCATGGTCTGCCGCTGCCTCGTGGCTGAGGTAGATGGCGTCAGTGCTAAGTGCTGCAAGGACGTTTGCCGGAGACTGCTAGCCCAAGATCGACAGCCGCGAGATAACGATGTCGCTGCTGAGCTCTGGCACGAGGAGCTTCTGTGTTGCTCGCGCGTATCCCTTGTCCTCGGGTAGTTCTTCTCACAGAAGGAGGGCGCGCCGAACAAGGCCAAGAAGCGCAAGAGAGACTACAGCGGTTCCACAGTGCACGTCGGCTTTCCGTCTCTGCTTCCAGTGCAAGCCGTTGGATCGATGAGCGAGGAGCGATGGCCCCGGCGAGGCGATTGCATCGATGTGGTCACAAGTGGCGGAGGACTGCTGCTGCATGAGCAAGGCTGCTGCGTGGTTCCAATATACAACATGCTAGCACCACGTCAGAGCGGCAGGACACTGGTTTCTGCAGATGGCTTGTACTACATGTATGTTACGAGTACTAGGCAAAACAACCTTACTTGAGTCTTGTCTCACTGCAAGTTCCACCGGAGTAGCCTTGGCACAGCAGTGGTGTTGGGACGCCCGCAACATTCGACCCATGGACCCTGAAATCCTCTCCGGGCGGTTGTCGCTCAGCTCATCGAGCTCTGATAACATACATTGCATGGCCGTAGTCGTGTACTAGCCACGACGCATTGCACCTCCATCCCATGGCCACGCGTATGCAAGTCAGCGGAAGCATGCATGCCCGTGTATCGATGACGGCGGCAAGAGCGTGACTGCGGGACCAGTTGCTACGAGCCTTTTCGCAGCGTCGCAAGCATGGACGCCTTGCGGATGAAGGCTGCGAGCTGCGGCGACTGCCGTGGTCGAGCACATCCAAGCGCAGGCGATGGCCTAGGCTGCGCCTCCATCTCCGTGGCCCAGCGGCTGCATCCTGCTCTACAGACCAAGGGGCATGCGTCGAGCGCCTCGTCGAGGGCAGTCTCCATGGCCTCATGGGCGCGTCCGGCTGCAAGGTCGAGCCGTCCGGTTTCGGATCTGTACTCGTTATCCGGATGGCCGAATCCAATTTTCAGCAATTAATCGACCGGCATGCGGTCACGGGCCGCGCCCATGTACGAGCCGGCGCGTCTTCCACGGCTCCCGCGATGTCGTCCTAGACCCGACGCGGTCCATCGAGCTCCTCTCGCTCGGCCGCGCTGGTCCTGGCGAGACCAACCAAGTCGAGTTCCTCTACTTGCCGTCCGGCGAGATCCTCGCGCAGACGCCGACCAAGCCATCGCCATCGCCGCCGCCAATGGCCGTATCGACAGCAACATCCCATGTGCCCATGCTTCTCGAGTCGGTCGACCGGTTCGACCAGGCGCGGTCGCCATCGTCGTCGTATGCATCGACGCTGCGGCCACAGCAGCTCTCGCCTCGGTCCGCGAGCGCCAAGTCGTATAGCAGCAGAGCCTCTCATCTCAAGACGCCGTACCAGCAGCGCATCCTCGAGCTCGAGACGCTGTTGGAACACGAGAAGAAGCGGTCGCTGCAGAAGATGCGCCAGCTCCTCGACGAGCAGGACAAGACACGCGAGCTCGAGAGCCAAATCAGTGCGCTACAGCACCGATGCCACGCGCTCGAAGGCGCGCTGGAGCGGCAGGACGCGCACGCACGCGAGCTCCAAGAAGCCAACGAGACGTGCGAGGCCCGGATGGCGTCGCTGGTTGCGGACCATGGCCGCCAGACGAGCCAGATGGAAGCACTACAACACCAGATCCAGACGCTCGCGGTGGCGTCTACGGCAGCATCACCTGCTCCAGAGTTGCCCGCCGTGACGGCGCCACCACCTCCACGACGGCTGGCGGACGAGGCGAGCCAAACTGAGAGTGAGACGCCTCCAGACACGGAGCAACCACCATCGTCGCATCTGGCTCTCCTCGAGGCCATCCACGCATGGAAACAGTCGCTGGACGAGTGGTGCGCGCAGCCGCCATCACCGCTCAAGGTTCGCCTCGAAGACATACTGCAGGACTTTCCATCCCTCTCGCTGCCATCGTCGTCGTCGTCATCATCACCGCCCATCCCGTCCGAGGCGTCGGCGGTATTGAAGCGGCAGCTGCAGCTCATGGAACACGAATGGCGGCAAACGCACGCCAAGTACGTCGAGCTCAAGGAGCTCTGTGCGCGACAGTGCGTGCGCGAAGCCGACCTGCAAAACTTCGTCAACGAGCACCGACTGCGCGGCAACTGCTCGCTTCAAACCGCCGCCGCCGCGTCGACTTTTGACGACACGCTCCATGGCGACCAAGGCCGCATGAAGGTCGTCATCACACACAAGCCCGAGTCGGCTGTGCACGCCAAGCTCGACGCACTGCGCGTCAAGAAGGAGCAAGTGACCGTGCTGCCGTCGGCGCGCTTGACCAAGAAACACGAGCGCATGCCGACGCCGAAAGCGCTCAAGAAACCAAAAAAGAATCACCGCAGTGACAAGGCGCCGTTGACAGCTGGCCGCACGCCCTTGAGCCGACCGTGGGTTTGCTAATAACGTTAAGAAGACCTCGACGACTCACCTCATTTGCTTGTTGGCACGCCGTCGATGGTCCCATCGACAGGGCTCTAGAGTACATCGCAGTAGTAGCACCTTCTTTGAGATGATTGCGTCGTAACATCTCGCATCTCCAGGCTCGCGTGCTCCGTCGTCGATCCACCGAGGTGGCTCACTTGATTTTGAAAAATCAAGCAGCCAGAGGCAGCGCAACAGTCTTCCCAACGTGGTCTCCGCCACACACGGCTTGAATGCGATTGGTCGCACCATGTTGGGTACTGCATACCAATGGACATGTATGTCTCTTGCACATACTACTGGTAACGACAGCTTCAAGACTCAAGTTGCCGAGATGCAATATGATCTTTCTTCCGCCGTCGTGGCGCCACTAGAGAGACATTTCGGTTTAGAATCAAGCGTGTATACACTAACTATTGTCCAGTGTTGTACAGTGTAGTCGGTCTCGCACCGAGGCGTCGTGGTCGATGATTGCGCCGCGTTGCAAAAGACACGGTGGCATGCGACGCCTCGTGTGACCCAAGAGACGGTCTTCCGGCGCAACGAGCGGCTTCGCGGGCGTTCCATGCGCGGTCTTAATGTGTGCAAAACAGCTCTCCCTTGGGGAAAGCAAGGGCCTCGAACGTTGTGGCCTGGTACACTCGCCGGGCGTAGAGCCTCGATGGTACTCTGGCAGCCGCCGCATCGTTGCTGCTACGAATCACAAGCTTTGGCCAAGACGCGAAATTGATGCAGATTGTGCGCGTCCCACGCTGTCTCGGCTAGGACAGACCCGCCAGCGTCCATCGTCATCAGCGCGATACAAGTACCGCGTGCTGATGCAATCAATGCATCGCTCGCCGTCGTTCATTTCGTCTGAATTCATATTAGTAGATAGCTCTAGTGGTAGAGTGATTAGAAGATGGATACACCAGCTCGCATCTGCGAACCGCAACGTCGTGATGTGTTTTTCTGGATGCGAGCTCTCGCTCCAAGTCGAAACCGATTCCAATGTCGCTCGGTATTCGTCCATTATTGACTCTCTCGACGAGCTCCTCAAGCGAGTCGTCGTCTACTATCTAGTCGAAGATCGACTAAGAGAGCGGATCGGATGCTAGCCAAAGGTCACGACAAGTTGATGTGAGAAAGTCGACGGTCGTTTTGTGACAAGCAAGCACGTGGCCAATATCCTAGTTTCAACGTCTTCAATTCGGTAAAGTGCGCTTCTACAGTTGTCCAATGCGGACAAAAGTCCTACTTGCACTTGGCACCACCCAAGAGCTGTCGTAGACGTCGGCTTGCAACCGCAGCGCACTGTCACATCGGCCATGAACGCTGGCAAAAACTGGTCGTCGCACCCATGCCCGCGCAGAAGCTTGAAGCTTGGACTGGCGGCGAGAAACAGACAAAAGATGGACGGTGTTGAAACTTACGAGGGACAATAAAGACGACGCGGACGCTATGTCCACGACGACATCTTCTCCATATACGACCGCTTGAGCTCTTCGAGACTCGCCTGCAACTCGTCGTCAATCTCGGCCAGCCGCTTGGCACCGGCGAGCCGGATCGCATTCATGTGTTCGTGGGCAGCGATAAAGTCGGGGTGCGTGCTCACTTCGTCGCCAGCGTCGCGGAGTCGGTGCATGACGCTATCGATCGCAAGCGCGGCGGCCTCCAAGTTTTTCTCGAGCTCGTGGCGCGCGATAGCAATGGCCTCGCGGTAGGCTTGGTGGGCCTCACGGATCGAGACGCCGTAGTCGGCCTCTGTTGCCGCAATGTCTTTCTTGTACATGAGTCGCTTGATCCCGCGCAAGACGGCATTCCGTGGCATATCGGCGTCTCTGTTTTCGTGTGCACAGGACGAAGCAAATCGCCAACTGATCATTGCAATCCAGACTTTTCAAATTAGGATCGGAAAAGCGTACTTTATCGGAATTTCGGACTGTGGACGCAATCCTTTCGTTTCTTCCTCCGTTTACTGTATTTCAGCAGTACCCGGTAGTACCAGGTACGAGCGCCAGAAATCGCGAGGACCTCCCGAGCCACGTACTAATACATTTGGTAACCGGTTCTGCGAGTGTATACTGTGCCGAGAGACAGCGTCGGCTCATCCACCGGAGTCATCGCCATGGCGCTGGAGGCGGCGCATCATTTTGGCGCGATTTTGAATCAGATGCGATCGCGACTATGCACCTAGCTTCAATTTGTGCTTCAGAGTCCGACGTCGCCGCCTACTGCCAAGGACTGCGCCTTTCGTGGAAAGCAAGGACAGAGAAAACCACGCACGAACTACGCCACTGGATGACGTACTACTTTGCATCGGGCACATCGCTGGTTCGGGCTCTGCGCCATCAACATCGTCCTCAGCAATACAATGTGGACCTCTGCGGGGTCGGCAAATATTAAATTCTAGCGGATTTTCAATTAATTTCTAGCGGATCCTCTCTACGATCGATTCCTCGCAAACCGTGCGGCGTGCGTCCCCGTGAGCCTCGGTGCCGCTTGCCAAGGAGTAGTCGCTGGTACTCCAGCGACTCCGACAGCGGTTGCGTGAGCCGTGCGGCGAGGACGACCTCTGGCGGCGTCGATGCCAAAAAGGACATAAAGTCCGATTGTTGGGCGACAACAAAGCATGCCGCTCGAGCAACCTGCATGATACAAGCGACTACTCCGTGGCAAGCGACACTTAGTCTGACGAGGACGCACGCAGTACAGTTTGCGAGGAATCGGTCTTAGAATGAAATCCGCTAGACGATTCAGTGAAAATCCACTAGAATTTAATTATCACCCTCTGCGGGGTCCATGTGGTTGACGCTGTCGGTGTGTGGCATCGCGCTGCCGAGCTGGCGCGGCATGGTTGCCCGCGGTTGAAGCCGCATGGATCGAAAGCCTTGGCGATCCTCCCAAGGTAACCCCCTGCAGGGACCCACTAACGTTTCTAGCGGTATGAATCGCTCTACAACAGCGCGTTCGTGCTGTCGTCTGGATGACTGAAATACCCCCGAGCGAGTTGGGCTTGTGGCTTGTCCAGCGCAAGGCCTTTGTCGCGGCCGACGTCAAGAAGATCGTACGATGGGTCAACCAATATGCCACCGACCTAGTCGACAACCGTGCAGCGGCAGTTGAAGTAGCGAGATCAAGCATTATGCGTCCTCGGCAACTCCCGCGCTACTCAAACGGCAATATATTATTTCCTCTTTCCGACTTGGTTTAAAATGTAAAAGTGCCCTTTACGAAAGCGGGTTTCATGTTGGTAAAGGGTCTTCACCAATATGAGAATCGCTTTCGTAAAGGGGCTGCAAAATTTCCAGCACCTACGATGAGCATTCCTGGTGAGGTCGTGGAGCGTGTGATGCAATACCTGGCTAGCGCCGACGAGATCCTCATGGCCGCCGAGCTGGGCGAAGCAAGCGAGTATACGCAGGGACTTCGGAACCTGCGTTCCGCCGCTCCACGCAGCAGCTTGGCGCTGCCCGTTTTGAAGGCCAACCACCCACTCTTTTGTGAGCGCGACGTCGCTGCGGTTGTCGGCTACCCGACGGCCATCGCCGTCACCAGCCCCGGCGGCTTGCGCTCGGCTTGTCTTGGTCTTGGTCCGATCTCGGCGGACCCCGGCATGTACCCGTGTGTGCTGACGGCACCACTCTCCGTCTACCGTCAGGCGTACGGTGGGCAGGCGGTGCCCGGCGTTGCACAGCCCAAGGTGTCGATCACTGAGCACGCAGAAGCGTGCAATCCAATGGACGCTCGACTCGTCGCTGCAACAAGTGCCGGTGCACTCGCTGACGTTATCGGGCGGCACAGCACTGCCTCTGCAAACGTGCAGTGACGAACGGATGGCGTCGCGCATCCGCTTGATCGTCACGCATGGTACGCAGATGGGATCGTCTGGCTTGGCGCACCTGCAAATTAACATGTCAGGAAGACGCGTCGTTGCGTTGAGCAACGCGCTACAAGAGTGCCCAACGCTGACCACGATTGTGGGATGAACCAACGACGTCTGCGAGGATCTCAACTTGCATCTGGCCATGGTCGGTGTCGGTGTCCCAGACACCAGTACATCCCATCCTCGGTGACGTTTGATCCCGCCGTCTTTTCGCCCGACGTCGGCGCTCAGCTGGGCGACGCTTCGATCGCATCGAGACTCGAATGCTTGTCGCTCGCGCGTATCGCCATGGATCTGGACACATGGAGCCATGTGTGCCAGGGCATCCCGAGCACGGTGCGCACCTTGACCATTGACGACACGCTCTTCGACACGGTCCACTGGCTCGTCCCGCTGCTGGACACCGTTCCGCGACTGCTGGATCTCAACCACCTGACGCTGTGCGCCGGTGCATATCGTGCTAGGCGCCAGGATGTGTGCAAGGCCGTCCGTGTGATCGCTGCGCCTCGTCACTCTCCGCGTCGACGTGGTGCTGAGTCCGAAACACCTCGTCGAGTGCGTGACGCGCCTGCCGCTTCTGGAAGAAGTCGTAATTTCGATGTTCCGGTCAACGAACGCGCTCGACTTGCTCCCGCTTTCGCGCAAGCTCCCGGTGCTGAAGAAGATCTCCATCGCCCACCCGGACTTCTCGTACAGCTCGCTCCAGTGTCTCGTCGTGGAGCTCGCGCGCACGGCCGCGCGCCGCGTGGAGCTCGACATTTTTGGCGGCGGCGTCGATCCATGCAAGAGTTTCGAGGGTTTTGCTCGACGACCTCTCGAACCCGCCCGTTCCCCGTGGCATGGAATCGGAACTCGAATGTACAAGTTGTCAATCGATGCGGACCTCTGAATCTCCGCGATTCGCCACAGCGCATGCATGATTGCGCGCTCTTCTGAAGGAGATTGCTCCAATGCGAGGAGCGTTGCAAAATACACAAATGAATCGGTCGAACACCGAAAACCAATGTTGAACACACAAGTGCATGATATATGAACGTGTTTCGCGTTATCTTCCTTACAAAGAGTTCGCATACGTAGAGACTAGCAATCTCCTTCTTCTTCATTCACTCACCGGGCCGTGGCTGCGCAGGCGGCGGCGCGGGGGTGCATCTTGTTAAGTGCATGATACCAATAAAAATAGATGGGACTGGGGCACGATCACAGACAAAACGCACAAATATACACCTCCCTGAAGCGAGGTGGCAGTTGTTTGGCACGCCGCAACATCGCCGAGAGCGCGTGCAACAGCTTCGCTGTTAGCAATGCCGGCCACCAGATTTACGAGGTTAGTCGAGGTGGTCGCGCACCTTTCGAGGTTCATTTCGTCAATCTGGAGGCGGGGCATCTCCGGCTTTTGGCGGCTGAGTCGAATGAAGCTCGACAGGCTCATCGTCGATGCGAATTGCCAAGTGAGCAGTGGTGGCCACAAGCTCCTCGCCACAAACAGAGAATAATGCCAGCTGGGATGCCCGCGCCGACCAGATGTATTGCCTCGCGACCGTGTGGTTCTACAGTACAATGTATTACGTACTGGGTCAGTTCTCGAGAGTCGCCTGGTTGGCGTTCAACTGCAGATCGACCAACTAGCCTTGGCACGAAGCCACTAATAGATGGGCTCGAAGCTCCATTCGCTAGCCACGTGCGGTTGTCAATGACGCTTGGCGCGTCGCCTTGTCTTGAATGCGTTGGTCACGTGCAGTAGCATCCCGTCGTCGGATCCTGGCGACGGTTGTCTTGCAAAAGTGTACGGTACTTGCATAGGCGCCCAGACGCCTTCCTGTGGCCAGCGTTACTGCATGCTTGGTCCGATGGAGTCACTGGAGGCCGATCCATCGACCGCATCAAACGTACCGGGTACATGTACCGGTACTTTACGGTCCTGAAAGTGCGATGGGTTTCTTCCATTGTACTAGAGCAGTACACTGTATTAGGTAGGTGTACGTAGGAAGCGATGCGCTGCAACTCTGTCGACCAAGACGCAGCGGTCGACATCTCCGCCGCGTGCGACGCAATCGTGGGGGCGTGGTTGGTTGCATCGAAGGCTGTGGATGCGATAACACTCGGTGTAAACGGTTCTGACCTCGTTGGGTTCGTTGATAAGAACGACGCGATCCTCTTGTTCCGACATCTGCTCTGTCGGTGTGCTTGCGTTCCTATAGGTCGCGACGTGATTTGCAGCTCCGGTTCAATATACCATCGTCAACGTCCTCGTCGGCCCAGGTTCCGTTCTCACGTTACTGCCTTCGAAGGCCACCATGTCCGGTCGCTAAGAGCGTCCTCAGTGTGGCACGACATGATCGTGAGCTCGTCGAGAGTCCCAGCCCCTACACACCCCGAGGGGCCAAGCAACCAGCTGCCACGACGCAAAGGTCGGACAAAGACCACTGCCGCTCGCAGTCAAACGTCGACGGTGCGATGGATACCAATGTGGCACGAGTAAAAGCTTTGAAAAAGCAGTAGCAGATAGGGCGACGGGAAGTGGAACTCGGCGCCCCCTTCCGTGGCAACGACCGTCCAGCACAGAACGGGTGGTGGGATTTCTGGATGGACATCCATTGGTGGCAGCGGCTTCCCGACCGTCGATCGCATGCACTTGAAGACAATAGCCGCTTGCAACAAGGTGCACGTGTTTTGTTAATTAGAAGACGGACTTGGTCGCACGCGCACGCTTTGGAGCAGCGTCGGGTCCTTGAGTTGGAGGCTAATTTCCGGAAAGCTCGGTCGGCTCAGCGGGTTTGCGTCCCAGCACTGCCGCATGAGCCGAGCGAGGCCCGGTGGGCAGTTGATGGGAATCACCGGTCGCAAGCCGCTGACGACTGCTGTCATCTACTTTCATCATCTTTAGACACCATGGACAACACGACAATATGTATTGTCGTACCAGCTGGAACGGGTTCATGCCCTGGTCCCCATACGGCTTGCTGCGAGACCACATCGAGTAGAGGAGAATGCCGTACGAGTAGACGTCGCCTTTGGTCGAGCAGAGCGCCGCGCCCATCGTCGCCATCTCGGGGGCCATGTAGCTCGGCGTGCCCACCTACGATATTGTCATATTGGCTGTCGACGCCCAAGATGTGCGGTCTACCTCGGCGGTCATAGACGTTTGTTCCGGGTCAATGAGCCGCGAGAGGCCAAAGTCGCAAATGTTGATGTCGTCCGTGTCGTTCAAGAGCACGTTCGCAGGCTTGAGATCCCTAGTATCAAGTTGATACGACAGACAACGCCAGTGAGAGGCGGTACCGGTGGACGACGCTGCGGCTGTGCAGAAAGGCCATGCCGGCCGTGATTTGACCCATGACTTTGAGCAGAAACCCCGACTCGAAATGGTCGCTGGACGCCGGGTTTTCAATCAGCGCGCTCAACGACGTGCGGCAAAAGTCCGTCACAATGTACAGCACCCGGTTGTAGTAGCTCACGCCGTAAAACCGCACGACGTTTGGATGGTGGAGCTTGCTCAAAATGCTCACTTCGCGCCGAAAGAAGCTCTGAAAGTACTCTTGGCCCGTCACGGGGCTATAGAGGCGCTTGACGGCGACGACCGAATTGCCGCCGCCGCTGTGGTAGAGCGACTGGAACACTTGGCCGGACGTACCGTTGCCGACCTCGCGCTGCAGCGTGAGCGCTTCAAACGGGATGAGCCAGTCGCGCGAGTCGGCCGACACGAAAAACTCCAAGTCGCTCATGTCGGAAATTTCCACATACGCGCCGGTGAACGTCGAGTAGCGTCGATGCAAGCCGCCGGCGTGCAACGGCGGGT